ATAAGAGCAAATACACTTAGAGTTCTGTACAATATCAAAAAAAAAAATCCACATATAAGTGGACCCATATAGTTCAAACCCATGTTGTTCAAGGGTCAACTGTATACCTTTCTCATCTTCAGCTAAATTTAGATTTTCTCTGCTTTGCTTGGTGTTATGTTACAAAACACTTTTGTTAACTTTGGAGAGTAAAAATCTCTGAAATGTGTTCATATTGGCCCTTCTCCTGATTTTTGGGCTCATGCAGATGGTATTAGGGCAAAGCTTGTGTGTGTTGTTATACTATGCCCTGTCTTTTTTTTTTTTTTTTTTAAGATTGATTTATTTATTTGTGAGAGAGAGCGTGCGCACACGCATGAGCAGGAGGGCCAAGGGAGAAGGAGAGAGAATCCCAAGCAGACTCTAAGCTGAGCATGGAGCCTGACGTGGGGCTCGATCTCAGGACCCTAAGATCTCGACCTGAGCCAAAACCAAGAGTTGGACGTTCAACCAGCTGAGCCATCCAGGCACCCCACTATACCCTTTTTTTTAATTTTATTTTATTATGTTATGTTAATCACCATACATTACATCATTAGTTTTTGATGTAATGTTCCATGGTTCATTCATTGTTTGCGTATAACACCCAGCGCTCCATTCAGTACCCTGTCTTTTAATGAACTGTTAGGGCAGAGGTGTTCTTAGCTGCTTCGGATATGTACCACATAGTGAGATTTCTGCCACAAGCCTTGTGAAGGCCCTTTACGGCTAGAAACCTTCTTGCCTCCTCAGAGCCCCCTTCACCTTGGCCCCACACTGCTGTGTGGGTTATGCTGAGTGAAATGTGGAAAACAAGTGTTCATAAAACCCTCACAGTGAAAAAATACCTTATATGGTCTCAGTCAGATTACTTAATATGAGTTTTGTTTCTTCAGTGCTGTTAAGATGATAATCAGTAGTGGATGTACCATTTTGGGGGCACTTTGCTCTAGGCACTGAGTGAAGAACTTTATGTATTCTCATTTTTTTAAAGATTTTATTTGACAGAGAGAGAGCACAAGTGGTAGGGGGGCGGGCAGAGGGAGAAGCAGACTCCCCACTGAGCAGGCAGCCCGACGCGGGGCTCGATCCCAGGACCCTGGGATCGTGGCCTGAGCCAAAGGCAGACGCTTAACTGACTGAGCCACCCAGGCGCCCCTACACGTTCTCATTTCATTTCTGTGTCTGAAATATCGAAGTATTACTATATCTGCTCTGGTGATGAGTGACCAGGGACTCTGAGAGGTGTGTTGAAGCTTTTTGGAGCAAGGAGCACGTGGTCCAGGATACAAAAGCACTTAAGTCCAGTCACAATGTCCTGCTTGTGGTGACAAGGCAGTAGCTTTTGCTGCCTTTTGGTCACATCTACCTGTGCCTCTCTCAAAATACTCAGAAAAGGTACGATATGGGAGGTGCCAAATGATATATCAGATGATGATTCAAAGAAGTCTATTTTAAGGTGGAGGTCCTTAAATAATATTCTTCTGGTACCTTTAAATTAAGTTTCTATTTGATTGGAAGGGTCTTATGTATGTTAAAAATAAGCACCATGTCATAGGTAGATACATATTCTGTTCCAGAGTTCTTTTAGGAACCTTGCTGTGATCAGGCAATGAGTAATGAGTTTCTACCATGGGCTGTTCGCATCAGTGCTCCCACCAAGTCTGATTCTTGAGTACTGCTAATTGCTTTAGGTAGACTGTCTTCTTTCATCCTCACAACAGCTCTTGTGCTGGGCACTGTTACAGAGGAGGAAACTGAGGCACAGAGAGCTTAAGGCACATCAAGGCCAAATGAC